AAATAAATTATCATTGCACAAATTCATATTAGATTAATCAGCAAATTCGAATCCATAGCATAGGAATCATTGTTATCAAATTTTGCTTAACATGGACTCCAAGATTTAGCAGATATTTTTTAATATTTTATAGAAAGGGATGTCTAAAATTCTAAAAACTCACACAAGAATTAGATCTAATCTGTAATGCCAGAAATATTTCTAATTTAATTACAGTTCACTTGAATAATGTGTAACATTTCGCAGCTCCAACAATAACTTCCATCGCAGTTTCATTCCAGTCACAAAATTTACATATCCACAAGCTCTGTAATGATGCACAGCGCATGAATTTAGCGCAACAAACATAATTCATAAATACTGGCGTGTTATGCATGCAGTGTGCTATTTCATGTTTGGCAAGTTTTATGAATTTTTAGTTCAATATAAAATTTTTATAACATTAAATATATTAAAATTTTAACTGAAGTTTTCTTTTTCCTTGATTGTAATATACCAAATCGGTATTAGATTTTGAAAAACCTAGTTATTAGGATAACTAGTTTTAAAAATGTCACAAGATGAAAGAAAATCCGACAGTTTCGGCGAAACCTTCAAAGATGAGGCAGAGGATCCTGCACTTTTTGAAAATCTACGAAAAACAGAAGTAGGATGTAACATGCAGAATCACCCCGGAACTGGAAATGCTACGTCAAGTGAATCGCCAGCTGATCTATTTCATCGTATGTCAGGACCTCGAAATCCCATGAACTTTGATATGGCCGCGGAAGGAGGACAAAATGTTGTCCGTTCTTCAGAGAACGTCCACCAATCTGCTGAATATTTCTTTTCACAGCGCACTTCAATTAAAAGAAATATATCGAATACTAACGACTCTTTAATCGGATGCAGTGTATGGAATAAAAAAATGCGTTATTGTGAAACAAATCCTAACGAAATCAGTTGTCAGCCTCTTGACCTCAGCATCAGGGGAGCCTCGAACAAAACGGACGGGATAAGCTGTGGTGAAATCGGCAGCTGTCAAAAGACTCAAAGTAGTACTTCCGCAAGTTCTACGGAGTGTTCGAGTTCAGCTCTGAGTTCTTCTGATAATTCAAGAGAAAAAGGAAAGAAACACGTGTGTGATGTCTGCAAAAAAGAATTTCCTTTCTTGTCTAGACTAAAGACTCACATGCGTATTCACACCGGCGAGATACCGCACGTCTGCAACAATTGCCAAATGGCCTTTTGCGAATTCTCAGGTCTCAAAAAACACATGCGTATTCACACCGGGGAGAGACCATACTCCTGCAAAATTTGTCAACAAACATTTACTCAATCGTCTAATCTCAATCGTCACGTGGCTATTCACTCCGGAATAAAATTACATTGTGACTATTGCAATTTTGATACTCACCTAAAAGGTTCGCTGAATAAACACTTGGAAACTTATCATTCTGAGCATAAGGAAAAATGCGATGCTTGTAGTCATTATTTCTACTCAAAGAAGTCGCTGCAAACTCATAAATGTAAAAAAATATAGTAACAAACTTCTAGAAAAAAAAAACGCATTTAAAATTTTATTTTGCAGATCAATTATAAAACTTTTCTGTTTGGTTCATGCCAAATATTGTTTACCCTGTTATTTAATCTCGATACTAAAGAACGTTCTCTCCGAAAAATGTTTGAGCAATAATTGCTGTTGAATAAAAGTGCTAATAATTTAACCAGAGTTGAAGAAAGTTCCATAATCTAAATCAGAAATGCAATATGACTGCCCAATAATTAAGCTTGAGAGACACTTGAAATATATTAAATACGGCTACCATAATTGAATTTTCTCATTATGAAGATTATTTGTTTTGAGTGGCTTATTGTGTAAGTTTTATTGTGATTGTTTCGTTGTGATTCGTTCACGTTTTACATGCGATTCTCGTGTTAATTATCAAATTTTAAATGATATAATGATTCTTAATCTAAAATTCTTGTTTACATGAATAATAAATTTTATTGCTAAATATTTGTCTAAAATTTTTTCCTTTATTTTGAATATGCATCTTTAAGCTAGAATGTATTCAATATATTTTAATTGGCTTTAAAATATTTTTAGAGTACTTGTAAAATAAAATATTTTAAGTTGAGGTGTTTTTAAACATTCTATTGGTTTAGTTTTAAAATATTCATTTCTAATTGGTGCTTTAATTAATTTTCTATATGTTATGGTTTGATTTAGATGCATTATAATAATAAATCAACGAATATCGAATGGATTTTTACTCGTTGCTATGCAACGGATGTATCTATAGTAAAATGTGCATCAGATGCATGTATGATGTGTTTTATACTGATATTTTATCTAATTATGGATGTTTGTAAATTTTTTAGAATCTTTTGTAATATTTCAAACCGTTGATTCAAAACTGATTATTAATATTATACACAAACCTATTGCTTTCAAAATTTTAATACTAACCATCAAAATTTTACTATTAACCATTTTTGTATTTAAATATTATTAATCAAACTATATAAAATCTTTTATGAAAATGAATATTTCTGTATCTTCCTTCAAATGTACAGTTATTGGTTTTAATTTGTGGCTTTTATATATTGTTCGCAATTTATTAATAATAAAATGTTTAGTTTGATGTATATTTTTTAATTTTTCTGACACCTTTCATGACAATCAAAAGATTCTCCACTTGTCTGCACTAATATTGCAGCAACATTGCTACCATTAAATTAAATACTTTAGTGACTGAGTTTAATCTAAAAACAATAACAGTAGATAGTAAACAATGGTGCGTGTATGTATCGAGAATCTCCCGAGTATTGCTTTTCGTTAAAAAAACAATTTACAAACAAACAACAATAAATTGTTTATCTGAAAATAAGTATTGCTTGTGAAATTCTTTATTCAAAGCCGGCTGTGAGATAGCGTTAAAGAAGAAATTAATGTACTTTGCATTTATGTTAAATCTCGGAATAAAATTATTTGCAATGTACAGATTTTGTACGTAGTATCAGACTCAATGTTGTAGAATTGCGTCTAATGGTGGAGTTGATGGAATCTTGAAAGGAGAACATTGTAGTGGTTCATATGATTTCACTTCTCTTCTGACCCAATTCGATATTTGAGTTTAATGTAACACAATTATGTTCGTTTGAGACATCATTGTGAGAGAACTTTGCGTCAGGGCTGCTGTAATTTTAATGATTGCCATGTCCAAAGTACTATCGGTGGTTGTAGAAGAAGGCAGGACAAACGACGTTTATGTTGAGATATTTTAGATTTGACAAATTGTGAGTAAAATGGCCTTCATCTTAACACCATGTGTTGTGTTTGGCTTTTAAGTCACCAACAATACTGCTCTATCGGTGTAATTGGGTAATGTCTCCTTCTGGTGTTATAATTCTATCAACTACGGTGGTGGTAGATGCTTGAAGTTATTATATTGAATCCATTTCTGTTGTATTTTCTGTTCTATTGAAGAGTTGGAATATGCATTTTTTGGTGAATTAAATTTCCTTGATCACATGGTCAAGATGTAGTTGCCTAAATTATAACTTTTACATCAATTATTAATTACAACATGCAGATAAGCACTTTTTGTATATTAAAAATACAGATAAAGTTCATTATTAGCTATTAATATTTTGGTATATTGCGTGCCATTTGTTTTAATTGTTTCTGTCAATAGATTCGATTAAAATGTTTAGTCGACTTAAATCTGTACTATATAAATCTGTAAGATGTTTTTGTTTGCTTGTTTGTATTTGATTAAATTGAAATTTTTATGCAATCAATTACAGTTGTTTAAAGTATGTAGGACATCCTTTGCTTTATCAAGTATCTAAGACTTGGACTTAAAATATCAACTATATTTTCTACATTAATTGTATTAAAATTTATTTCCCCTTCTAATATACTTTTGTTCTACGTTGAAGTGCTGGAAAATTTAACAAAAATAAACATATTTTATCAGAAGGCCAGAAAAATTTTCAAAAGTATCCAGCGAACAAAATTTTCATGGAATATTGTGTTTCTAATAGTTTTCATTTTAATTTACAATGACATTTCAAAAAGGAAAGAAATCTCCGAAAGCCTGCATTACAGTAAAGTTACAGTAGCAGGAAAATGCTTCGAATTGAAATTATGTCATAATATTATTGAACAAATAAAATATCAAAATTCCAAACCTTTCCTCGCTGAAACTGCTATGCCTGGAAAAGAAATGCATATTTTTTAACTTACTTAAATTAATAATTTGAATTTGGAAAAGGACTTTCGCTGCTGAAATATATTTTTGAATAAAACAATTGAAATAAAGAATTACAAATATTTAATTTGTTCGTAATTATATGCAGTTTAATTAGCTAAGTGGCTTAATTTTCTCTGTTTGCGTCCATGAGTGACAAATACCCACGTGCTGTTTCGTGGTCCATGTGTTTTGAGAGATTCACATTTCCAACTCCAAAAGTGCAATTGTATTCAAATGTCCATTTAATGAACTAAAGTGTTTTATTAAAAACCTTTCACATATTAATGAAAGAAAAGTGAACAGAAGTTTACTTGACAAATTATATGTTTTAAAATTCCTTTCTATAAACATGGACATTAACAGGCGTTAATAATCCATCGTCAGAAATAAAAAAAGATTTATTATTAAAGTGGGGTTTCGATCCACGGAACTCTGGGTTATGGGCCCAGCACGCTTCCAGTACGCCACTCTGCTTCAGTAACCGCGTTGCTATAATAATCTAGTAAAACATTGCTATAAAAAATGCTTAATCTTTACCGTGTGTTCATAAATGATTGTTTTTAACAATTGATACTCTTTTAGCTTAACACATTAAAATAAACGAAGAGAATAACAATAATTTAATCTTTAACATATTAATGTAAGAAATGTGTACAGAAGTGTATGTAGAAGTTGATTTATTGTGTTAAAGTTTGCTTCTGATATGCGTACATCTGATGTTAATAATCCATCGTCGGAAATAAAAAAAAAATGTTTCACTAGCGGAGCGTGGATTCGATCTTCGGACCTCTAGGTCTTGCGCCCAACACGCTTCCTCTGCGCCACTCTGCTCGGCTGATCGCTTTGTTCTAATAATCTAGTAAAACATATTATTATTATTATTATAAAATTGTTCAATCTTCACTAGGCGTAAAAAACATTTTTTAACAACTTACATTTTAACTTAACACATTTAAATAAAAGAAATGTATAACATAATTTAATATTTCACATATTAATGTAAGAAAAGTTTACAGAAGTTAATTGGACAAATTAGTTACTGTGTTAAAGTCTGTGCCGGAATTGGATACAATAAATCTTCTGGACAAAGACTTTCTCAACTTGATGAACAGGAAATCAGCTTAACTTTGGTACCGTGCATTTCATTTCAACTTTAAAATTTGATCAGAAATCACAACTTCCGATTCACATCCTTGATTATGCTATCTGAGTGTTTTGAAACTGGTGCCCCGCAAAATGGAAGAATAAACCAGCCGCCTAATGATTTACTACTACACCACACCGCACCACATCCCTATGCCTACAGCTGAGTTGCCTCTTTACAGTTTGGAAATGATATGGATGAGAAAAAAGTCTGATTGGGCTCTGTGACGCTCTACTGTTATGTGAGACTGGGGTCTACAGCTTAAAGAGGATTCCGAAACATTACAGCATCCATGGTACCGCAACGATTCGAACCTGATGCCTGTGATCGCCACTCGACTATCAGGCCGCCTGCCTAACGATTTAACGTATTTACCGCTTTATGCAGAGGTAAGGAAACTTTCAGCTTGTTACCTCTTGTACAGTTTCGAATCCAACCTGTTTTCACCAGGCCACTCAATTAGAATGTTTTTTAAAAAAATTCTTACTTACATTTATTTTGCAATGAGTGAAAACTTTTCATTGAATTGTTTACTTTAAATTGTCCTCAAAAGTTAAATTTCAAAAATAAAACACTTGTGAAATCCTACTTTTCTGAATGCAAAATGCATATTATTAAAAGATAAAGAGCTGCGCTTCTGTGAGCATTGGTTTTTCTCTAACATTTACTTGCATTTGTTTCAGTTGATTTGATAAACCAAAGCTGCTTAAATCATGAGAATGCAAAGGAAGTATTTAATTCATTATACATGTATTTTAAATAATTATATTCTTACAATAATCCTAAATTCGTAATAAACAGTAAATCCAAAGTATAAGTAAATTATCATTGTGCAAATTCTTATTAGATTAATCAACAAAATTCGAATCCATCCCACATGCTTAATATGGATTGCAAGATTTAGAAGATATTTTTAATTTTTTTATAGAAAAGGAATGTCTAAAATTATGAAAACTTACACACGAATTAGATCTAATCTGGAATTTTAGAACTTCCATCGCGGTTTTATTCCAGTCACAAAATTTACATATCCACAAGCTCTGTAATGATGCACAGCGCATGAAGTCAGCGCAACAAACATAATTTATAAATACTGGCATGTTGTGCATACAGCGTGCTATTTTATGTTTTTGAAGTCGAATGTAAAATTTTTATAACATTAAATATATTAAAATTTTAACTGAAGTTTTCGGTTTCTTTGATTGTAGTATACTAATCGGTATTGCACTTTGAAAAACCTATTTTTTAGGATAACTAGTTTTAAAAATGTCAGAAGACGAAAGAAAAGCCGACAAGTTTGGCAAAACCTTCAAAGATGAGGCAGATGATCCTGAACTTTTTGAAAACCTACGAAGAACAGAAGTAGGACGTGCCATGCAGAATCGCCCCTGGACTGGAAATGCTACGTCAAGTGAACGTCATCTGATCTGTTCCATCGTAAATCAGGACCTCCAAATCCGATGAACTCCGATATTGGTGCTGAAGGAGGACAAAATGCTGTCCGTTCTTCAGAGAACGTTCACCAATCTGCTGAATATTTCTTTCCGCAACGAACTTCAAATAAAAGAGATATATCGAATACTAACGACTCTTTAGCTGGATGTAGTGTACGGAATAAAAAAAATGCGTTATAGTGAAATGAATCCTAACGAAAGTAGTTGTCAGCCTCTTGACCTTAGCTTGAGGGGAGCCTCGAACAAAACGGACGGAATAAGAGACGGTGAAATCAGCAGCAGTCAAAAGACTCAAAGTAGTACTTCCGCGTCTGCCACGAAGTGTTCGTGCTCAGCTTTCAGTTCTTCTGATAATTCAAGAGAAAAAGGAAAGAAACACGTGTGTGATGACTGCAAAAAAAGAATTTCCTTTCTTGTCCAAACTAAAGACTCACGAGCTCATTCACACCGGTCAGAAACCGTTTGTGTACAACATTTGCCAAAGGGAATTTAACTGATCCTGTAATCTCGAAACTCACAAGCGTACTCACACCGGTGAGAAGCTGTTCGTGTGCAATATTTGCAAAAAGGTATTTAAACAACCTCATCATCTCGAAAATCACATGTGTACTCACACCGGGGAGAAACCATACATCTGCGAAATTTGCCAACAAGCATTTTCTACATCGTCCAATCTCAAGCGCCACGAAGCTATTCACTCCACAACAAAATGACATTGTGAATATTGCCCGTGATTATTATGAAACTGCCCATAAACCTTCGCTGAATAAACACTTATACCATTCTGAGAAATATACCATTCTGAGTATAAGGAGAAATGTTTCGTTTACTGTCATTATTTCTACTCGAGGGAGTCTCTGAAATCTCATCAATGTAAAAAACTATAGTATTGTTCTCTCAGTGTCATTTAGCATTTACAATTTAATTTCTTGATAAGTTTATAATTTTGTTTTCTTTATGCCAAATATAGTTTACTCTGTTAACCCATCTCGACACTAAAGAACGTTCTCTCCCAACATTTTTTGGGCCATGGGACAAGTAACTATTGGGATAAAAGTGCTAATAAATTTTACAAGGGTTAAAGATAATTCCAAACTGTAAATTAAAACTAATGCGGCTGTCCAATAACTATGTTTGATAGACTCTTGAAATATATTAAATACGCCTGTAATAACTGAATTTTTCTCATTATGAGGATTAGTCGGTTTGTGCTTGAGTGGCCTATTATTCTATTTAAAAGTTTTATTGTGATTGTTTCGTTGTGATTCGTTCACGTTTTAATGCAGTTCTCGTGTTAATTAACAATTTTTACAATTTTAAATGGTATAATGATCTTAATCTAAAATCCTTGTTTACATGAATAATAAATTTTATTACTAACTTTAAGTGTAAAATTTTTTTTTTCCTTTATTTTGAAATGTGCATTTTTAAACTAGAATGTATTCAATATATTTTAAGTGGCTTTAAAATAATTTTTAGCATATTTGTAAAATCAATATTTTATATACAGGTACTTTTAAACATTCTATTGGTTTAGTTTTGAAATATTAGTTTCTAATTGGAGTTTAAATTCAATTGCTATAAGAGTTAATTATATTTTGTAGTTTGAAAATTTGAATTAGATGCATTATATTAATAGATCAATGAATATTGAATGGATTTTTACTCGTTTCTATGCAACGGATGTATCTATAGCAAGATGTTTATTATATGCAGCTATGATGTGTTTTATACTGATATTTTATCTAATTATGGATGTTTCTAAAATTTTTAGAATCTGTTGTAATATTTCTAACCATTGATTCAAAAGGATGATTAGTAATATTATTTGCATCTACACTAAATCACACTTATTGCATTCAAAATTTTACTATTAACCATAAAAACCCCGAATTTTTTTTCGCGTTTAAATATTATTAATCAAACTTTTGTTTTCAATATTTGCATGAAGATGAATATTTCTGTATCTTCCTTCAAATGTACAGTTATTGATGTTAATAAATGACTTTTATATATTGTTCTAAATGTATTTTTATACATCAAACTAAGCATTTTATTATTTTCTTGCGGCAGATATTGAGGCAGATTCGTATATTTCGGTAGCATATCTCGTCCAAATCTAGAAGATTCTCCACCTGTTTACACTAATATTACACCTACATTGCTTCCATTAAATGAAATACATACTTCAGTGAGTGGGATTGTCGACGATTTTCTATTATTGCTTTTAAATCAATGTTACGTTTATGTACAGAACATATCCTGAGCATTATTCACTTTGGGAAATTCAACATGAGCAACTTATTAAAAATTGTTTTTTTTTATCTTAAAAATAAGCGTCTCTGTTGAATTCTTTCTTCGAGGTGGGCTGTGAGATAGCGTTAAACAAGAAATTAAAGTAGTTTTACTTCCTGTTAAATATCCATATAAAAATTATTTGCAATGTACAGAACTATCAAAAAGCAGATGTTGCCTTAGTATCAGAGTCAATATTGTAGAATTGCCTCTAATGGTGGAGTTCATGGAAAATTGAAAAGGGCAACAGGGTAGTTGTTTACATAACGTAACTTCTCTTTCTACCCAATTCGATATTTCAATTCAATATCGTTTGTTTGGGACATCATTGTGAGAGAATGTTAATTCAAATTTTATCATAAGATTGTTCAACTACAGTATTAAAAATTCCAAACCTTTCCTAGCTGAAACTGCTATGCCTGGATAAGAAATTCATATTTTTTAATTTACTTAAATTGATATTTTGAATTTTCAAAAAGACTTTCGCTCCTCAAATATATTTTTGTATAAGGCAACTGAAATAGAGAATTATTTCTAATATTTCAATTGTTCAGTAAAACCTTCAATTATATGCAGTTGAATTATCTAAGTTATTTATTTATCTCTGGTTGAGTCAATGAGTGACAAAGTAACAAAGTGATGTTGTTCGACAATGTTCTTTCAGTGATTTCCATTCTCCAACTCCACAACGCGCAATCATATTCAAATGTCCATTTTGTGAACTAAAGTGTTTTATTAAATATCCAAGAGTATGAACAAATAATCTGTTTCCCACCAGAGAATTAATTTAAAAGAACATAAAAACATTGTTTTTCAATATTCATTGTATGAAAATGTAACTCTTCCCCTAATACAAACCTTTACTCTACGTTCAACATGGAGTGCGAAAAAATTTCTTTACTAGGAGAGCGTGGTTTCGATCCACGGACCTCTGATTTACAGTGCCAGCACGCTTCCACTGTGCCACTCTGCTGGGTTTATCGCGTTGTAGTACAATGTTCTAATAAAAACATATTGTTATAAAATGTTCAATCTTTACCGTGTTTTCATAAAGGAAGTTTTTAAATAATTGATACTTTTTTTAGCTTACCACACTAAAATAACCGGAAGTGTTTAGCAACAATTTTATATTTCACATATTAATGTCAGAAAAGTGTACATAAATTTATTTAACAGATTATTTAATTGTGTTAAAAATTACTTTTATATATATATACATGGACATTAACTGGCGTTAATAATCCATCATCAGAAATAAAAACTTTTTGCTATCGGAGCGTGATTTCGATCCACGGACCTCTGATTGGCCCAGCACGCTTCACTGCGTCACTCTACTTGGTAAAACGCGTTTCTATAATATAAATTAAACTATTGTTACGAAAATGTTCAATTTTTACCGTGTGTTCAAAAATTATTTTTTAACAATTTACACTTTTTAGTTTAACACTCTAAAATAAACGAAGTGTTTTGCAACAATTTTTTCTTTCACATATTATTGTTAGCAAAGTATACAGAAGTTTATTTAACAGATTATTTATAGTGTTAAAATTTTTTTTTATTACTACATCGACATTAACAGGCCTTAGAATCCGTCGTCAAAAGTAAAAAGGTTTTACTAGCAGAGCGTGGTTTCGATCCACGGACCTCTGGGTTATGGGCCCAGCACGCTTCCACTGCGCCACTCTGCTTGGTAAAACGCGTTGCTATAATAATATAATTAAACTTATTGTTACGAAAATGTTCAATTTTTACCGTGTGTTCAAAAAATATTTTTTAACAATTTACACTTTTTTAGTTTAACACTCTAAAATAAACGAAGTGTTTTGCAACAATTTT